TCTTGATCCTGTCGAATGAGATGAAAAATAGGTTCAAACGCCTTTAAAACCTTAGCAAAGGTGAACTACAAGAAAAGAAGGGGGCTCCAGGGTTCCTATTAATCCGATCCTTGGCTGAAAGACCTAGTTACCTTACTCCGTTATGTAGCCATGACTTGGAAAAGATCCATCTCTGCAATACAGTTTTATTCTGGGTGAGCCTTGGTTGAGATCTTTGCCAAGTCCATCATCCATGGGATGATGATAGCGGCGGACCCCCCCTCTGAAGCCTTGGAAAACAGAGATGAACAAGCGCGGCATTGCTAAAGTGATTACAGGGCCTCCCACCGCTTGTAACGGAAAATATGGTCGGTTCGATTCCGACAGTGCGTATCATGTCATGTTCACATTGTTCATTCCATCAATAGTTACCATTTCATCGTTCATTTAACCCCCCAGGAACCAGGGCTTCGAGGTCGATGCTTGGTTCCGGCTCACTACATAATAAGGTGGCACCGCAACGCAGGTCAGTTGCACAGAGCGTTTGTTTATTTTTACTGTTCTCTTATAAAAAAAAAAAAGTATATACACGGGTTAACTAGTGCCCCAGCATATATCAACCAACGCCTTGGAATGGATTCAAGGTCTCATAAGATTGGACGCCTCCAGTCACTAGTAGTTAGTTAACTAGTGGACGAGTTGAAAACGAATCGCCAAATTTCCACGAAACACATAACCTTGATTCAACTCCCTAGATACTTGGGCAAAGTGAATATTCTCACCATGAAGAGATCAAAGGAGAAGTAATACAGGATCCATCCATGAAAACGACCTCATTCACTAACGTCATGTGATTTCGTGGCAATTTGGCGATTCGTTGTAAACGTTCAACTGTCTGAAGTATACAAACGCTGAACACAACATTTCAATAATAATGGCCTCCCTGTCTGCTATCATTTCTGGGAGTCTGCGGACTAAGTCAAGGCTTTTACTTACCTGGACTAGCGCTGGGCGCATTCATTTCTCATCCGCCGTAGAACTAATTATTAGTTAACTAGTTGTAAAAATGGGAATCTAAAAAATGACAAAATAAGATAAACAATCTTTAGGCAAATAAGTGTGCTCTCGCCTCCCCCGTTACCACCATCCAATCAAACGAACCTTAAAGCATTCGCTTGAATGACGACAAAGAACCTCTTTTAACGCTAAGAAGCAGCCATCAGTCAATCACTCCAACGGACCTTTCCAGCCCAGAAACCTATCAATTCGATCCCGCAGTGACAATCTCATTCTGCTTGGATTAGCAGTGGGTTCTGAGACTGTGGAATTATTCTTTGGCTTTCTATTTGGCGTAGCTAAGGGTAGCTCCAAGGTGGAGGATGATGCAAGATTATTTTCGCCCTTTCCCGCAACGACTATACTGATGCTGACTGAAGGAGTGCTGATTTGGCAGTCGATTTGAGTTGTATCCTCAATTTGCAGTCCTCCTTCTCTCCCTGGATATTCCACTCCGCTACTGTCATTTTCAGGCTCCATAAGAGTAACCTCTCCTGCACCTCCAACAATAACAACATTGGTTACATGTGCAAACAGTCCCCTGTCTACAATGAAGGATTTCTCCCAAGAAAACCAGCCGAAGTCACCTGGACGAGGCTCGCTCTGGACACACTCTAGCTCATGACATGCGGTTTGACCGGTACAACCTTCAACACTTAGGCGGCCAAGCTGATATTTAATGACAACCGTTGTGTGAACGGCGAAGAATGCTAGAAGCACCTTCATGGGGGTCTTTGGGACATAACCGCAGAGAATTTGAATAAGAAGACCCAACTTCTGGCAAAATACCATGGAAAATATGACAATTCGAATCATCTGATGGACAATCCAGTATGTCGTGCTTCTCGTTTCAAAAGTTGGCAAGCCCAAATATCCCCAGTCCCCAAAGTCTCCTGTCTCGAATTTCTCCATAATTCCTTTCATGTTAAATGATTCAGATTCTCCTATCCCCACTTCTTCGATCGCCCGGCCTCCTGAAACGCCTATTCCCCACCGGCCACGTAATGAGGGAACATATTCCGCCTGCGTCTCAGGTTTCTCGTAAAAGAGCTTTGGAGTCCACGTTGGTGAAAAGGATGGCCAGTAGGGAATGTCCCAGGTTATACGAAAGCACCGGTCAAGATCATTTTCCTGGCAGAAAATCCTAACCTTCGTTGTCCCAATGTCACTAGCATTCACGGGCTTCTGGTCAATACGGAAGTCCCTATTGCCATTCTCCATTGTCCATTCGAAATAACCTCCGGGCCCATCACTAATAATAACATCAATGGCCCCTTCTTCAGCGGAGACACTCTTCTGATATAAAGACAATACACATACAGCGGTATACTCCACAATGACGCTTGTACCAAGCTTTCTGCGACGGTTTAGAGTTACGCTGGTTTCATAGTTTAATACGCGATTATCACGAGACTCGCTTGTCAAAAGCTCCACCGCTCGCAGAGACACAACCAATGGTTTTGCTAAATTGAAATCTGCAATACAACCTGTGTCGATGCGTTCCAAATATAGTAAACAATCACTTTCGCAGTCCAGCCTTTTCTTCGTTAAGCCGTGGGGGATTTCTAACTTTAAGGTTCCCTTCCCGTATTGGTCGACAGGAAGACCTGGTATCTTCAGAAGTTGCCACCCGCCCGGTTGCGCGGGTCCCAGCGTTATTTTCATATCAAATTCAATGATAAACATGGCTTTTCCAGCAGACTTTGCAGATAGAATATAGAAATCCCGGCAGATTTCCTCCACTATGACAAGCTCTGGGACTGGGATAGTAGATTTTGCACCGAGATTATCATCAACGGCCCATTTCTTTGCTAACTCGTCCGCCGAACTCCATGGCATGTCAAGTTGAGATGAGGGAGAAGGACTTGGCAACTTCATTGGCTTGTCAATATTATCCTTGCTCTCAGTAAATGTGGGATTGTTTTCTTTCTGGTCTTTCCCAGCTTGAATCACCCTTGCATCAGAGTAGATAAGCGGGGAATGAGGGACCTCAGTGGATACTATATCCTCACTCTCCTCCAGCCATGTTGATACGTATTTCGATTTCTCCATTTTTTCGCCAGCATTCTGAGTAATAGCAGCGCCACTCTTCAGAGCAAGTTGCTCAGATCGACGGGATCCCCGCGGGCCAGGCCGCGGAAAAGAATTAGGAGCAAAAAAGACAGGCTGCTTTCCTGGTTCATGTGAAACTTCCCGGCTAGACAATTTAGGCAATTGCTGAGGCCCTAGGTCTGCCCTGTGTTTGTTCAATACAGAGGGCAATGTATTCAAAAGCCTTACAGGAGAGAATTGTTCGTTTCTGGAAGTAGTCGGTATAAGAGACGGTCTAGGATCTCGAGGGATATACATCCCACCAGACTGAGGGTTTTCTGATTTTGGTGGGAAAGCAGACGCAATTTTCGAGCTATCCTCGTCAGGTTCCGACGGATGCAATAGCTCGTCAGTTATCCCGGATGGCCTTGACAGACTTGTTGCTCTAACAGGAATTTTGCTCGAAGGTCCTTTTACCATCTTCGGGCTGATAGAAACCGAGATTATTGATGACTTCATCTGCCTAAATGCATCACTCACTGCTCGAGTAGAAATTCCCTTTCTTCCACTATCGCAATCAGTTCCCGTTGTGGAAAGGTCAGTGATAACAGAACCATCTTTCAACTCAGATACCCTGGCACCCATTTCAGCGTGTGCCTCTCCACATTCTGCTCGATCGACATCGAAGCCTTTAGTAGCGGAATGATCCTCATTGTGTTCCGAAATGCTCGTAGCTGAAGCGTTAGGGCTTCTGCTATCTCCACCGTCGTAATCTTCGTCTGCGTAATCACCCAGAGGCAAACATGGGTCCTCTAGTCCTGAGCTCATATCATCAAATGGAGGGATCATTTCACTGGCAGTGCTTGTTGGGCTTGGGGGGAACAGTCTCCTTTTCGTAGGGAGGGGTGATAAATCCATTCCCTTCTTGTATAAGGACCGTGGTGTTTCATCAAAGTCCTCCACAGGCAAGCGAGGCAAGATGCTAATTTCCCCCCCAATTTTAGCTGGGCCATCAAACTTTAGCAACTCAATGCCCTCATTGCTCAAGTCAAGAAGACGAAGTTTCGTATTTGGCGCGGGTACGAACTTTTCAAAGCATTTGTCAGACTCGCTGCAGGGCTGACTTGCTTGTTGATGTTGGTGAGAGTGGGGAATGTGGAGAGGTAAGTAGCCAGGGGAGGGGAAAAAGGTGTACCCATGGGCTACGTACCTCAATCTTCGCATGGAGGATGACATGACTTGTTGGATCACCATCCCACTCCCCTCTCAAATCAATCTTATTAATTGACGTCTGAGAGAGAGATTTTGTTGCCATTATTTCCGGCATCATACAACTAACTATACCTGGCTGGCACTGCACCAGTTCGTAGCAGGTGGTTAAACCTGAGCAGTCGGATAGGACAGCTCAATCTGCAACCACAAAAAGAACAACGAGTTAAGGAGAAAACGGAGTTGAGAGAAAAAGAAAACAGGGGGCCAACAAAGCTCGGGTACCGAATAACTGACAAACTGAAGACTTGGGGGTTGGACGAAAACAGATGTTCCTAGGAACTGGTTAAAATTTAGTTAGCTGCGGCAGGTTCACACTGTTGTTTACATCCACCACCGCGATGCCAGGGAAACAACTGCCTGCAGCATAACACGCCTCACACACAGACATACAAACATTGCCTTGTTGTGTCGCGCTGGGTGAGCTCGGCTTCTGCACTGAGAAGGTGACGATGATGAAGAGACAATCCACTGCTACGTGACATGCTTGAATGCAAGATAATGGTGCACGCGGGGGGCAGGATGACATGGCACATAAGATTAGGTGGGCTCGTTCGTGACAACCAGCAGTTGGAGTCGCATAATAATAGATAATATCAGGCATACATTTTCGGTAGGTCAACAGGGGCAAAGCCAACCACTTTCATAAAACCTCCAATCCAATCAGGGATATAATATATTTTAAGGTAATCTGTATGAATTAAGACGCCCATCTCCAAAATCCACGCCTTTGCCAATTTTAAAATATCAGTCCCCTATTGACCAGACCATTTTAGCATGAAATGCACAAAAACCAAAGAGAAACAAACTTGAACAAAGTTTTGAAGTTAAACAAACTGATTTTGTGTAATAAAGAACACCCTTTCAGTGTGGGTGGAAGGGGGAATAATGTACAGGAGGAAAAACTATGCAATTTTTGAAAATTCCCCATGGGCGAAGAACGAAACGGAAAAATAGAATAAAACAATAGCAAAAGTACGAAAACCCGTTATGTCCTTTGGCGCCAGGTATAGCTGTATTTGTACCGAACCGGATCCCGAACCCCCTTTTTTTGACACCTTTCAGTGCAAATCTATCCAAACGAACGAAACTGGAAAAATAGAAACCCCATGTCAAAAATACAAGTTAGAATCGTAAGCCGAAAAGAAATCTCAGCGCGGAATCAGACGTATGAATATACAGACAGCCCGATATCAATCCTGATAAGACACAGCTTATTGCGGTGTCGAATTGGCGGGTGTCCCAGGTGTCTCGAAGCCGGCCTGGCTTTCGTTCCCATATCTCTCACCATTAGCCGGGGGTCCCGGCTGAGAAGGAAGAATAGGAGGAGTTCCTTGTATGGATTGATCATAGTAACCCCGCGAACTGCCGTTGCCATTTGACGGCAATGCCTGGCGATTCGATTGCAGAGGCGGGAGAATGGTAGTGCCTCCCTGCTGGTACTGTGATCGCTGGTACGCCTGAGGCATCATCCCCATGCCTGTGGAACCTGTAGTAGAAGATTCAGGTGAGTGCCCCTGTGGATAGGCAGAACCAGCTTGTCTCACTTGAGAAGGACTCTGCATGTGTCCTGAAGGTTGACTAAAAGACTGACCAGGAACGATCCCCCCTATATTCGCCGCCGAACCAGTCCGGCCTGTAGTAGATTCGCCCATCTGAGACATCTGTGACGAAGAAGCCAGGTTGTATGGCACTTGAGCACCCGAATATGACGGATACCGTTGCTGGCCCATATACGCACTTCCAGGTGACCGTATCGACCCCATAGAGTCATCACCAGCGCCAAAGGGAGTGGGTGTAGATCCTTGCTGCGCCTGTCGAATGGAATACTCGGATACCCCGGTACCAGCAGTAGTGTACCCTTGCATGATGCCTTGTTGATACGCTTGGCTTTGGTACGGATTGGCCGCATGCGGTTGGTATGGATCCATTTGTCGACTGTATCGAGCATCACCATCGTACAAACCTCGACCGCTCACATCGATAGAACTTCGTGAACGCTTGGCTTCAGGTCCGTTGTAGTAACCGTAATCTCGATTCGTTTGATATGTCGCTCCCATTTGCTGATTCGACGCAGTAGAACGCTCTGGTGAACGAGGTGGTAGTTGAGAAGAGTAATCTGGTTCTGTACGAGGTAACGTTCGTTTGCTAATACTTCGTCAGTTGCTTCCCTCTGCCTTCCTTGCATACCATTTCGCAGCTGGGAACTCACAGTAGCGTACGAGCCTCCTTCCGAATCCTCAACTTAACACCCTGGTCCGCAAATGATCTTGAAAGCCATGTCGACTCTGCCATCCCGGGGAAGTTCTTTGGAGGGGAGACTAGTAGGATTAGCAAGTGTAAAACACCACCCTCTGCAGTATAAACCTACCAGTGAATGGCTTTGAAAGTATTGATTTTATGAACACAACTTCATCTCTAGAGCCGCCACATCTCTTTACTCTATTTAAAATGGTTAGTAGTCACAAGGAGGAGGGTGGTTCTTAAGGGAATCATACTCGCGCATCTCATACAGATTGAACTTCAATCTGAACTCCCCTTCAATCTTGATGGAAAGGTCGCCAAAAACGAAGAAGCCGCCTTCTGAGGACCCCAATGTCAGACAGTGAAAAACAGGGACATGAGATTGAAATTCAGCACTAACCCAGATTGTCAGTGTCCTTAAGCCGATGGAGGGATGAAACCAGTGTTCCTGCAAGAGCTGTTGATTGAACTGCGGTTGCTGGTGTATCCTCTACTGCACTATAAAGAGTGCAGCACAGAAAATAAAATGGGCTTTGCAGATAATTCCTTCGCACCATTGTAAGTGACCAACCACCAAATTTCATTGTTGAAGGGAGAGCCTTACTGCCCTGGATCTTTCGATTCATCAATTTTCAGTTGGATAATAGGTGGAGGATCTACCGGTTTGCGTTCTGAATATATCAAAAAAGGAAAAAAAAAAAAAAAAAATTTTAAACCATCAGTCCTTGGCCATCACGTTGACGAGAAGAGAACTTCAAGGTATGAGCCATCATCAGGTTACCTTTTTCTTTGCCCCCCGCTACACGCGCCCGCTCTGGATTCTGACGAACTATAAGCCGGAAGTCCGCGCTAAATAGCGATCAAGCAGCGTCAGTGATGATTTCCGAACAAATGCCATAGCAAAGGCAGGAAAAGAATTTAGCAGACTAGAGCCTACATACTTTTGGAGAGCTGGCCGCTGTGAAACAGGGTCCTCAGGATATGTCGTGGCGCTCATGAAGGTCAGAGTGTTGGGGGTGTTGGTTTGCAAAATATCCAAGGATAGCTTTAGCTCTTCTCCAGAAGAAAGGGTTCGCAAGACCCAAGGATTGGTATATGTGATCCTTGTAGGCGGTACCTGGGGATAAGAATGGAGTTTTAGAAATGGATTCCGTCCAGGAAAATACACAGCAAAAAGCTCCGTGTCAAAAAGAGAGTCGACTATCAATATAAAAACCGAGCAATCGACAAGGGATGGGGGACAGATATGAAGCACTATATCACGGGTGGGGACGCAGTGGGATAAATCTGTTACATTGAAACTGGAAGAGTCGAGGCCAGAGAGTATTTTGATGGATGGCAAACATACCTCAGCAGTAAGCAGCGTCGTCAGAAACCTTTTGTGCTTACAAAGGGAAGGTTAACCTGGCCCAGCGGCAATTTTGCTCGATAAGCTTTCTGCCCGAGACAAGCAACTCCTCAGTCACTAGAAGAGCGAGAAAGAGCTTCCCCCTAGGGCTACGGCTTCTACGTAGCAGTAGCAAGTAGCAGTGGCAGTAGTAAAGTAGCAATAGCAGTCTCAAGCGAGGGGTTTGAGGAAGCTCGAGTTAGGCTTGAGTTGGAAGCTTGGGAGCAAAGTTGCCTTCTGTGGATCGAACGAAAAAGTGGAGCGAACCGTGGAAACGTTTCGGAGACACTCAAGTTGCAGCTGGTAACAAGATAACAACCATGGGCAGATAGTAGACAAGCAAAAACGTCACTGAAGAGCTTGGAGATGGGCTCCCGAATTGACTCCCCAGCTATGATGCGTAGACACTCGAGTGGAACCGTAGTTTCTATCCTGGCCAGCGTATTTCAAATCGTCAGAAGGTTAGGTGGGAACCAAGAAATCGGCCTGGACTCCCCGGTATTTGAGTTTAACGGCTAACTCTGACCAAAACCCTATCGGGATAAAGGAGGGTCTCTCTGGGGCGTGGATGGGGGTGGGTGGAGGGGTGATCCTCGAGTCAAATTCTACTCGACCAACTAGCCGTCCGTTTGCAGCGAACTTCGACGTCTGGAGATGTCTGTAGACCGTGATTAACAACTTCTGATGCTTGTGTATGCGTTACAGAAGCTGAGATGGCTATTCGCTATAGAATGATGCGAGATGCCGGTTGCCACTTGACTGGGCGCCTTAGGAGAGGTCAAACCTATGTATGGTATGCTTATCTGCTCGGGTACGTGGGTAATCTCCGTATCATTCCAGTGGAAATCAGTTAATCGTGAACTCGGTAAAGGGAATTTTTGGCATATCACTGTAGTATCTCGTAATCAATTCCAAACAACTCTTTATATCTCTTATGTCATGTCCAAGAAATTTTCGGCACTCCAAATCACCTAGATTGGCTCTCCTTGTCGCAGGCTGCACTCCTGCTGTGTTGTCGTTGTTGTGCTTATTATAAAGATCGATATATGACTGCGGCTAGAAAACCGGATCAAGAATAAGAAGAGAGAAAAGTGCTTGGAGAGGGGAACTGTCCACCAGCGGAAAAACCTGAATCACGGATAAGGGATAAAGTCTACGACGCTTTTAAAGACCTTCGACAGTCAAACAGACAGCAAACTCGACACGGTCAAGATCGTCGCCCATTCGATACCAGGTCCAGAAAGGGGGGATTTGTATTCATGTGCAGATGAGAGAAGAAAAAAAAAAAAAAAAAAAAAACAATGTCACCAAGATCTGCGAAAGGGGCGGACGGTTGATACAAAGAGCATTAGCCACCATGCAGCGATCCTGTGATGCTGCGACTTTGGACTGGTTTCTTCTCCTCTGAAGTCACAGGATACTGTCGATGGGAGGAGGCCTGAGGTGAAAGAGAATGTAACGTTGGGAGAAAGCTCCATAATACAACTGTATTGAATACCATATACAATTATGAGAACTGTCCAGATGGAATCGTATATCCTATGGCTTGCAAAACACCCAACAAGAACCTCTGTTTGCCTGTCAAATGAGCTGCCAGCTCCCAAATTATTATTTCTGCCGATCCAGGCCTAAAAGATTGAACATCTATTTCCGATGCAGAATGGTGGTTTCGAGAAACAAAGGGTTCGGGATTGCGACGAAAATTATTAAAAATATGGCTACCTACTCAATGGCAGAAGGGGTGGCATGCAGGAGAACGACGGCTCGAATAATGTGCGATGTTAAGTCAAACGGTCAACAACTAAAGACAGAGACATCTCCGGCATGTTGGCTCCCTGCTGGCCTCGCAAAAGTGTATGAGAAGTCAATGCTCCAGACCCCTGTTCAATGGGGCTTGAAAACATTGACCCATAAAGGACGGGCCAGATGCAGGAAAATCACATCTTATTGGAGGCACCACATCACATCTCCGGCAGAGGTACGGCCCAAGTGACGAGTGATATCAAAGTAGACGCTTTAGCTTTAAAAACTGGGGGACCGTGGTCATGAACAGACAGTTTTCCCTTGCAAAAAATCGGGCTTAAAAGAAGTCCAAGCTTGGTGGACATCTATGTCCGGAGGGAAGAGGGCGGAGTCCACAATGCCATCAATAATACGAATGATGCACATAACGATACCTGGAAACTGAGCGCAAACAGAGCTCGACTTGTTGGCCATCTTGGCTGCTTGAGTGCAAACAGGGCGCCCATCTCTTAATAATTGGTGTTGAACAAGCGCTGCAAACCGCAGACATGCATAACTACCACATAAAATATGGTCTGTCAACCCAGTCACGTTTGATATAGTCCATTGGATGGTAGTGGGTACGGGTACTCTGAGGAACTGATACCACGCTATGTACCAGCTGTCCAAGCTTTCCTGGGGCTGCAAGGACGTTTCGCGATATACACTCGTGTTTCGACGCTGTAATCATCCAGGTCCGCCGGGCAAATCTTTTAAGCTCTGCACACGATTCTCCACATCGAGTGGGTAAGCCTAGGTTCAAGAAAAGACGCCCCCTGTAAGCGCCCGGCTGTTTCGCGTGGCTATAGTTGAGGTCATGGATGAGGTACCTGGGTCCAAGTATCGTTAGTGTCGAACATGCTCAGCACAAAACGGGGTCCAAGTCACTTCTCGAGGTCAGGATAGGGATTTCCGAGAAGCTTCAGCCACGATCGAAACAGGTTTCGGATATTTTAGCGTCCATGGAAGAACCTTGGTCAATTGCAGATCCAGGATCGATGGAGCCAATATGTATCTTTCCCGATTTCTCCTCAATAATTATTGATTCGCGCTTCGTATCATAACACCACCTCCTGAACAACGAATATCGGAAGGTCATAAAGCAGCGTAATGTTCAAAAGTACTTCATCGAGACGCCAGCTGACGATTCGTCGTCAGCCGCAAAAGGCCATCTCAGCTTGGAATAGTGGACTCTCTGCAGATGGGGTTTGGGAAGAAACGAGAAAACGCAGGAGGCTTTCCTCCAACTCGGACCTTGATTAGACCAACCTGTTGCTGGGACCCCATCCAGCCAATCATGCCGAAGCGGATGCACCACATCCATTTGGAGAACCAGCCCAGAAAATATCTGGCCAGTCAAAATCACCAGTGCACCAGGATACCACTGCTTGAATCAGCCCAACCAACCCTGTGTCGTCGGCTTCCTGAAGCCCTTGAACCAACACTTTTTTATGTCCCAGTCTTTGGGCGGATAACAAGTGCCGGGTACCTACAGCTACAGCCTACGAGGGTATTTTGAAATTTTCACGAATTTTAAGTGGTCTGTGTTCTTATTGGAGCCTCGAATACTAGGTGGTCGAAACATTTATATTATTATTCAACCATTCAGTCGAACGGAGGACGGTGTATGTTTTGAACAAGGGAATATGCTCGCAGCAGAGCTACGAGGGGAGAGTCGTATTTTCGAAATCCACTTTGTACCCTTCATAACCCAACTCAAATTTCTTTGGCGGCCCCTGAAGAATGTGGATGGATGAGCCAACGGGTTGGTCCGGTTCTTGTGAAACAGCTTCTTCAACCTGCCTCATGAAGTCTTGATTAATATTGACACCTCGAAAGACACACGCCGATATTTTGCGAGGATACAAGATCTCATCCCAACCTGTACCATAGGTCACCACAAGATCGTGTGATAACAGGCCATGCTTTACAGCTTATGAAAGCTACGAAACCTTCTCTCAATCAGTCAACTTAAGCAAATATATTCCCTTTTGTTACATGAACTACATCGGATAATCGCATCAATTGGGGTTCGAGGTTATTTCACTGAAAACGATATCGAAAGACATAACTGCATATATGTACATATACACATTTCAAGACCAAGCGATTCCTTGATAACTGGCGCGAAGAAAGTTTACCCCTAAAGTCATTAGTTATTACCACCGGCCACCAATCTTGGAACTTATTTCTAGGCTTGATTTACAGATATCATACTCAAGCCTCAACCACTATCTTAGCCCCATGATAGCTCCTTTAACTAGTTGCTGTCAACATGGCGCCCAGATTTCGAATCCATGGATACCTGAAATTAACGTGCTTCACCTTCTTTGAATCCA